TATAAAGGTATCATTAATATCTCGACTCTTACCTGCCTGGGATCATTTGGGCGTCCAAGATAGTAATCTCCAAATCCAACCGTTGACAAAGATATCGTAGAGTAATAGATACTCTGATAAAGTGTCCAGTTTTGACCGTAAACTGAGATCTCATTCTTAGTTAGTTCATATCCATAACCAGGTAGCGATATCACACTTGAATTAGTGAATATTTCGCTCTGCTGAGATGAGGTAATTCCGAAATCTGTGATAATTATTGATACACTTTTGGGTAGAATTGAAGTGTATGACTGTTTTTGGATAGAAATAGTAAGGGAGGAATCTCAAGAGATGAAGTGAAGGACATGAAAATTGAAAACTTGTAAATTTGTGTACTTGATTGTTACCAATGTCAATTTGATAGAGTAATATTTCAACTGATTGGTTTTACAGTTTTTGTTTATTAACTTACAAGAATACCCCAATAAGAAGAGAGACATGATGATTGCAATGTTGATGTAGGCGATTATAAGTTCGGTGTATCTGTGTTGGCAAACTACTTTCACAAAACTGCTTTTTTCGTTCATTTTCTCAAACATGCTGACTATGTACTTTCCTGCAGAAACAGTGTTACCTTATTAACTTAATTAATAATTACTAGTAAGACATGTTTGTTATGATTATAATTGAAGTTTCTAAAACAGTTGGTGACTCTGCAGTTTTAAATTGTAAATTCTTTGGTAAAACATTTAATTTTCTTAAATCTTTAAATGATTTATAAAACCTGCTGCTCCTAGCATGATAATGTAAAGGGGAAGTCCTACCATGGCATAAAGGCAGCAAGCTACCTTACTGTACCAAGTTGAAGGATGTAACACTCCATAACCTGGGAAGATAAACTATAAGTAGCCGGAACTATAACTACCAGTTATATTTTTATCCGATAATATTCCAACTGTCCATGGTAATGGTATATTTGTACATTTTATAGTTTTATCTGACGATATCACAATATTCAATTGGCACTCTTGTTTTTAGTGCATTATTGAAAATGATAACCTGTCTTACCTACAGTAGTTATGATAGAGACACAGAAGTCAAACGCAGCCCAGAAAGACCACCTTTTTCTGGGATATTTGGTGATGTGACAGAGAAGTTCTGCTGTCCGGGTGTATGTTCTAAAGTTGGAGGAGTTTTGGAGGGTTGGGTGGAGTAAAAACAGCTGTTCTCGCTCTGCTAGCAGTGTGAGTGTGTTGTTTCTCTGCTCAGCTGGGAAATATCGCATTATCTAATGTAACGCAATAGTCTAGTCAGGTATGCACGAGAGATGTTTACCTGCATTTCATAGTAGAGGGCTGACATTTTTTGGGGCCTCTCAAACAAAGGTCTATAGAACAAAATGAATTCCGAGCCCAAAGATTCAGACCGAAGATCGCCATTTTGGCCATGCCCATTTGGATTAGAATTGGATAGGCTTAAATTATCCACAATGGCCACAAAACTGATTTTGGCCAATTTTGCCAAACTTGTCAACTTTTAATATAAACATGTTAGAAACTTCTGGATGTTTTTAAACTCACTGAAATGAACATGTATTTATAATTGTACAAATTATGAATGAAAAATTACTCCAAAATGCTCACTTTTTGAGTTATTGGCAACTAACTAATTTTACGGTAATTCAAACGCGTATGCAGGATTTTTGGTTAAGAGGTTCTGTAGTCCCCAAAAATATTTTCAGCCTTCCACTATGAAATGTAGGTCAATGTAAACAAATGATAAATGACCAGACTATTAACAATCTTCGGATGATTGTTGCAATACGATTGGTATGGTTATGGATTTACCATTTGAAAATTACTAAGTTGTATGAAGTCGTTATATTCCTTGGATACGAACCAAAGTATTGAGTTTGGTAGTAGTTAAAAGCATAGAACCCTCCTGTGAAATATCCAAAGTTTGTAAGTGTCACAGTTATTGTTCCCCAAATCACAAGAAGAGTTCTCCTTTTTACCAATCCACAGCAACAGGTTTTATCATCCGGGTTTCCAGTTTCATCGTTGTTTGCTGCATCTTCTTTACTTTTAACTACCATTGCTGAGAGCACTGAATTAAACTATATCATTTCTTGACGATTGCATGATGTTTCCATAGACTACAATTTGCTAAAAAGCACTCATTTTAACATTCTTTTGGTACTCCTAATTTTCCATTTTTTGTGATTTGCTATTGTCCATTTCTAATGTCCCTATCGGTTTTCGTGACCCTACGATTTTATCATTCTGATCAACAAAACGTAAATCAAGCTCACGAGTAAAAAAATAAATAGATAAAATCAAATACATTCACTACACAATATACATACAGCATTCATAACTCAAAAGGACAGAAATAATTATCATCCAGATATCTATGGTACCTCAAGCTTCCATTTATGTAAATTCAAACAGTTTTGGGCTTACTGGAGAAGAACTCTTTGTATTGACCAAATTTAATAATTCAAATATTTTAATAACAATTTCACAATCAATTCAGAAGGACACGCCTTAACCTAAAAAATAAAACTATAATCCAGATTCTTCTGGAGTGCTTTCAGTATCTGACTTATGCGAGGAAAGTCCACCGGTGGAACCTAACTTAGACAGCCTTCCTGTAAATGAATTCTTATCTGCGAAGTTTCCCAGTTCACCCATTGCAGCATTAGCAGCCGCTTTTGTTGCAGCTTCAGTTTTCTCGTGCAAATATTTCATTGTTTCCTCTGATAGTTTAGCGTATGTTTGGAATGCGTAGGAGAAGAGCGCAAAACCAAAAGTCACTGATGAAAACAACATTGCAGCCTGAAAGTTGTATTTTCCAAACATAAAGTCTTGCATTTGAAATATGTATTTTTCATTTTGTCCACAGTTGGTATGCATCAATCAAGTTTATTAAATTTAAACCTATTTTTAGACTCTCACCTGCCGCGGATCATCTGGTCGTCCAAGATAATAATCTCCGAATCCAACTGTAGTCAAAGATATCATAGAGTAATAGATACCCTGGTAAAGTGTCCAGTTTTGACCGTACACTGTGATCTCATTCTTAGTTAGTGCATATCCATAACCAGGTAGCGATATCACACTTGAATTTTGAAATATCTCGCCCTTACGAGATGAGGAATATCCGAAATCTGTGATAGTTTTTAAACAAATCTTTGGTTACAGTGGAATTGATGTTCATTATAATATAAAATCTTAGAATGTTGCTTCTGTTGAATCAACCTTTTGGAGAACAATTATGACAGTATTCTTTCATGTTTACGTTTTGTACATGGCTGTTTATAAAATCAGTTTTTTAATTTACTGTTAACTTAGGTAACTATTAGCCTATCCTCAAAGCTTCAAAGATTTAACTTACAAGAATACCCCAATAAGAAGAGGGACATGATGATTGCAATATTGATGTAGGCGATTATAAGTTCGGTGTATCTGTGTTTGCAAACCACTTTCACAAAACTGCTTTTTTCGTTCATTTTCTCGAACATGCTCACAATGAATTTTCCTGAAGAAACGACTTTTTACATAATATTATATTCGTCATTTTTTGATAGTCTTTAAATCATTATTTCGATTTATGGACATTTAGTGAAAGCTTTTATTTCTAAAGTTTTGTGCTAAATTTAAAATCATTTAAGCATTTATGAACCTGATGCTCCTAGCATGAGAATGTAAAGAGGAAGTCCTGCCATTGCATAAAGGCAGCAAGCTACCTTACTGTACCAAGTTGAAGGATGTAACACTCCATAACCTGAGAAAATGAGAAGTAATTTTTTATCTTAGCTCGTTCTGCATCTAAATGCAATGTATGATACTACTGTATAATTATAGGTCAGATCGATCAGTATTCGAGCACACAAATCTAATTGTTAGTTCAGATCATGTTACTTATTTCAAATAAATGATGGGAGCAAATCCGATTGCATAGATATGTTTCAAACTGTTTTTAACTGTGCATTCTGTACCTTCGCATTGGTTGCACTAAACCCCACTTCATACACAAACAACTGTTTAATTGATAAACTGTTAGCTTTATAACTAAATAAAAGAACACTCTCCAGCATTGCATCCATTGGCTCATCATTGATTAGTGGCCTATGAGCAGAAGTTACAACAGAGACAAAAACTAATCTACCTATTGAATGTTGCGGTGTTTGCACCCAAATAAGTGTTTATTAATTGATCATCATCCAGCAACACTGCAATTAACAGTAGTTACAGTACACTCTCCAGCTATGTACATTCATTGAATAGTGTCCTAACCACAGTAATTACAACAGAAACACAAAAGTGCTCTCTTTAAACTTTGTAACACTACACTAGTTGCTCTTAAACAAGGGTTTATTTGTTGATAATCATTCAGAAGCACTACCATTGACAGTTTACTCTCTTGTTTTGCATCTGTTGTTCTATTATTGAAAAGTGTCTTACCTTCAGTAGTTATGATAACTACCTGGGAAGATAAACTATAAGTAGCCGCTACTATAACTGCTAGTTTTATTTTTATCCGAGAATTTGCCAACTGTCCATGCTAATGGTATATTTGTACATTTTATCTGACGATATCACAATATTCAATTGGCACTCTTGTTTTTTGTGCATTATTGAAAATGATAACCGGTCTTACCTACAGTAGTTATGATAGAGACACAGAAGTCAAATGCAGCCCAGAAAGACCACCTTTTTCTGGGATATTTGGTGATCTGACAGAGAAGTTCTGCTGCCCTGTTGTATGTCACCAGGTTTGAGGAGTTTTGTAGAATCGGGTACTGGGTAAACAACTGTTCTCGCTCAGCTAGCAGTATAATACCGTTATTTCTCTGTTCCTCTGTAAAATGTTGTACTATCAAAAGTACTTTAAAGTATTAAATAATTGTGTAGAATATTTTGCAGACTTCATTACCATTACAACAAATACAGTTAGGGGCTGTGGTTAACCATAGAAGTTTGAGCTGCACAAAGTCACTAAAATCTTTAGTTACAAACCGAAATATTCAGTTTGGTAGTAGTTAAAGGCATAGAACCCTCCTGTGAAATATCCAAAGTTTGTAAGTGTCACAGTTATTGTTCCCCAAATCACAAGAAGAGTTCTCCTTTTTACCAATCCCCAGCAACAAGTTCTTTCATCCTTTATCGAAGTGTTCTCATCATTATTTCCTGTGTCGTCGTTTTCTACTCCATTTCCTTCAGTTTTGCTAACCATTGGTGATATCACTGAATTGAATTTGGTTATTACTCCAAAAGCGGTAATGCTAGAGTGGACTAACGTTTATCCTCCCGAACTTCACTCTCGTCTCTCACACACTCCATCTCTAATGCCCCTACGCTTTATTTCCTTTTGATATAAAAACACACTTTAAGCTTATAGCCCAAAGGACAGAGCGTACCTAAATCCCATAGCATCTAAATTTGATCTCCAACAGCTTCGGACTTGCTAGCTGCTTGAGACTTGAGAGGGTCTTTGTTTTTGAAAAAAAAATCAATTGTTTCGGGCACAAATAAAGTGTAACAAATCTAAAAATAGAGTGTAACAAATCTATGTTAAGGGAGGAACCCCTTTAACTGCTTAAAAAAGCAATTTAACACAGCGAAGGCTAAATCGATTCTCACTCTATCAAACAATCGATAAATAAGTACACAGAACTGTGGTACATTAATGTAACAGTCTGACGAAAGTATCAAAAAAACTCAGACAATTTAATTGTTTATAAACTCATGCTCAGAATCTGCATTATACAATAAGTTTATAAACAATTAACGCGGAGTGAATTAGTACGGTCAACACGTATTGAGATGTCAAGTGCCTGTAAAAGTTATTGCACCTTTAATAGAATACAAATCTCTGGGTTAACCAAGATGCATAACATGGCCTACTAAGATTGCAATGTGCACAAGATCCTAAGCTATCCTTGTAAATGGCAACGTTTGTTCTTTGTTATGTAAATGATCATGTGTTACTGTTACAACTATAGGTGCACACCTTGCATTGGTCCATAGAGAGCAGTCGGATAATCTGACTTGGATTAGGATAGAAAAGGTTGAGTTAAAAGAACAATGAGTTAAGGCATGATAAATATGTAAGTTTACGATTTTCTCAGCTATTATGTACTTTTAAGTTAAGGATTGGATCTATACATCTAAGAACAACGTGACTTGATCTAATTTGAAACTTTTATCAAATATTGTACTCAATAAAATGCTGAAATGTGAACAAATTTATCTTTATCTTAAATAGCATGGGAACAATGTTTCTTTCATGTAGGCAAGTTGTGGCCTGTGTCTAAAATAATTGATTACTTTTGGTCAGGGTAGTAACACTAGTAGTAGTCACACCAGTAACACTAGTAGTAGTAACACCAGTAACACTATTATGAGCTTACTCGGGAGTCTGGGTTGTGGGTGGCTCTCAACACACTTTATTTCAGAAACTTTCAACTACTTTTAACTAAGGTAACAATCAATGTAATGATGTTAGGAGGAAACAAAATGTAAAAAGTTGTAATTCCAAAGTAGTATACAAATTTATAGGTCCGACTCAGTTGCTATCAAGGGCAAATAAAATTAAAAATCGTAACCAAATTCGAATGGCAAGTTGGTCAGTAACATTTACAAATTGAATACTGTACTTTGGAGCTTTTATCCTGTTCGAGCTTTTGATCAAGGGGGGTCCAGCCTGTATTTTTGTGAAATCCGTTTCCGGGATAGGACCAACAAACTAGAATTCGTGATCGAACTTTTAAGGGTGTCCCGGACCCTTAGCGCCCACGATGCAGCCAAGCCCATGTTCGGTCCTTTTTGTCCCAATTATGCCAAGTCACCTCAAGATGCCCCGATTTTGGGTGCTCTCCTGAATTCGTATTTTAATTTTCATCCACATTGAACAAAAACTATATGCCCATATTTGACAGCTTTTGGCCCATCCATTTGACAGATATCAATATTTTTGGACCAACTTTATAATATTATCTCGAAAACAAGTGTCACAAAATTCAGGTGAGACCCCCCCCCCCACCCCATCCCTTTAAAAGCCTCGCTCGTTCAGGTTATTAACAACTGTGTTAATAAAATGGATGACAAGGTCTCTAATTATGGATAATTTTAACTTAATGCCTCAGCGCTCAGAAAACTGGCTGTTCACTCCGCCGAATAATGTTGAGCAGAAACTTCAAAGTTTGCAGTCTAGCCGACTAACACAACTTACAAAATATTTTAATATACAGGGTGGCCCAGAAGTAACTGCCCACACGCAACCCTTTAATAAATCACGTAATTCTTCATAGAATTGCACCGAAATTTCAGAGATTATAGATATGGGTCAAACTTAGATTTCCTGAAAGTTTCGTCAAATTTAATTAAGTAATCACTGTGGGTGTGGCACGCCACTCCCTCTTTTTCACTATTGTCACCATAAAGTGAGAACGCTTTCAGTTAATAAAAGATTAATAAAGGGTTGCGTCTGGGCCACCCTGTATGATATTGTGTCGTAAATTAAACTAGGTACTAAATGAGGGTGATTATAGTACACGTGTTGCCAAACATAATGGTACATAACTCGGCTAAATTGTGTTCAATCAACTTGAAATTTTGGGAATTCACTTGAATTATCTAACCAAATGTGTTTGTGCTAATGTGTCGTAGGAAATCCTAAATTACTCATTGAAAATACAATGTTGGTTTTAAAAGAAACGGCTTGAAAAGTTGAAAATTCTAACAAATTTGTTGAACGCATAGTACACAGTAACGAAGAATATTGCACAGCGAAATATTTACAACTTATTTAATGTCTAAACGATGTAGGGTAAAAGGAAGAGGCTGAGAGGAACCGGTGTGGTAATTACTTCTGGGGCGTCACTTTCACCCTCCATAATGTAGCTAACTCCATTATATCTCTTCCCTCAATATCACCTTTATTGGCAGACTACAAAGAAACTGCTAGAAACTGAAAGATTCAAAAGAAAAGACATGATAAATACATAATCCTTCCCTTTTTTTGAATTCTGACGAAAAAGTCAGAACGTCGGACGAATGCCTTATATTAGAGCATGATTTAAGTCTAGCCACAGCTGATTCATTAGTACAATCAGGGAATAATTAACTTTTTTAGTTGCCGTCATTTATTAGTTAATTGCCGGGACAGTGATGAAAGTTGAACATGTGCGTGATCGCATTTATGCGCATCGCTTTCAGAAATGTTCATAGTTCATTATAAGTGATAAATAAATTGATCTTGCTATATAGGATAAGACCAAAATATGTTACAACTGAGTGAAATTGATCGCATCTTTATCGCAGATAAGCAGATACTAAGGATTGTGATAACTGATAAAGCAGTTGCACCTGAATTAAATCATTATAATCTTTAAAGTCTCTTGAATTTATATGAATAAGATAATCATTGTTCCATATTATTATCTACATTTTGGCAGCATTTCAACCGCCACGATTTGTTAAACGAGTAAAATTTTATTCGCACTATTTTAATGTTAATGATTACATAGTTATGGTATAGTTTAAGCATGATATGGGATGTAGATTTGAGGAGGTGTTTTAGCAGAATTTTATATGCCCCACTTAATCAGATGACTTTGTAAAACACAGGGGGAAAAAATTCGTGTTTGCATTATTTTAATACAATCGGAGAAATATACTTGTTTTCATTACAATGATGAAGTCTCCGAACAAGATAATTTATCGGTGATCATATACGTTTTATCACTGAACAAAAGGAACTAACTTTTGCTCTATTTTGCATTTGAAAAAGTGTGGCATTCCCTTTTACTTACAATTATTATTGTATAGAACATTACTGTATTTGTAGATCCCATGTGCACGTTTTCAACGGAACGCGCGAAAAGACGATTTTTATTTACGTGTCGTCACGTGCGCTGAAACGTACGAATATTATTACAATTTGTAGAAATTAGGCTGCGGCACTTTTTACACGTATGCAATTCGGGAGTTTTACACCCTAGTCCCTACTACTTACTAGCTTTATATTTCACGGTTTTAACCTATAAGTATTAAGTAAACTTACAAACTACCGCTTAACCGCCTTACTTTGTATAGGTAACATGAATAGAAGAACGAGTTGAACGAGGTTTGAATCCATCTGAAGACTGAAAAGTGAATCCTCTTGTAATTTCTGATCCCAGTCCTAAAAGAGCCATGTCTACAAACTGGTCCTCAGTTATAAACATGGCGAACAGCATCATTGGTGTTGGTATATTAGCGCTACCCCTCTGCATCAAATCGGTAAGTTCATTGTTTGTTTATTGAGTGACTTTAGAGTTTAGGTGTGGTTACTTGTCGAAATTCTGGGTCAAATATTTTCAGAAATTAGTTTTCCGTATCCCTATATCGTACTTTTTAAAACTGTTAGCAGGGTTAGTCTGAATTTGGCTACAACAAGTTAAACGATCCTATAAGTTAGTTTGGAGTCGATTACAAAATAAACGAAACTGCTTATATTATTACATTTAAGGATGTTTCAAAGCAGTCCTTCAATTCTCTATCGTGAAAGCATGTAAAATTCTACTTCATCACTACAACAAATAATTCAAGGAAGAAATATGAGGATATATGATAGTTAGGCCTAACAATTGTAAAACTAGTCCAAGTTACCAGCCTAGCCAACACACGCACTCTAAAGTGAACCCCAATTTATAGCAGCTTACTTGTTTTCATGCCTCTGATTACCCTTAAATTGCCTCTAATTACCCCTTATTTTCAGTTGGGATATTTTCTGGGCACAGCGACACTCCTCATCTGCGGTTACATCACAATTAATACTTCCTACCTCCTTGTGCTGGCAGCTTACAACCTGAAGGCTAGGAGCTACGAACAACTGTGTAAGGCATTGGGAGCGTGTTTTCGTTTAAAATATTATTTAGTTATTTGGTGTGCCATTATCAGATAGCAAACAGAGGCACCATACATCAAAATATAATGAGTTATGCGATCCTGCAACTTTTCTGATTTTTATTGCAACATTACACCCAGATATACACGAAATATAAGGCAAATTATGCGACCCTGCCGTAACCGCCGCAACTTAATACTGCTTGTTGTCATAATTTATTAAATGCTGACAAATGTGTGCATTTCATGTCGCACAGAATATTCAATTTGACACAATTTTAAAGGTTCTATCCTCCTGATCGTATTTTTCCCAGCGATGAAGACATTTGGAGTGAGAGGGAAGATGGCGTGCGAGCTAGGGTAAGTTACCAGATTGTAGCATTTTTACTTTTTTTAGACCCCTGAATGTCCACTTTCCGTAACAACTCTTACTCAAAGATACTCGTGTAGAAATTACACTAGGGTATGGTAAGCATTTCGAAACCACCTCCCCTTATGTCACTAACGTAAAATGTGAACAATCTTACAGACATTAGTTGCAAAGTGCCAGATCAGCTCAAATTGTTCTAAATCTGAACAAGGGATAAATAGCTGTGAGGTATTTGAAGATACAGAAAATAGTGGAGCTTTCAGCTTTGTTTACTTGATTGAAATATCTCTCAGCTTTTTGGGAGAGTGCTCAGTGAAGTTGGCCCCTGCAAATGTTTGGGTTTCTAGTAGTATTATTATTATAAAACAGAATCTTACCGACGAAAAATGATTCTTAAAAATACCTTAATGCGGTAAACTGTACCCTTGAAAAAGATTTTCCCAACATCTGTTGCATGCAGCTATATCTCTAATTTCGTTCAATTCATGCGAGTTGTCCATTTGCAATGTAGTATGGAGAAATAAAATACATACCGTCCTGATTGAGAAATGCATCACATCAAGAAATACAATTAAACTACAGTTACGGAACTACTACACAGCTTAGCAATGTAACGCTGAATATTAAAACTCTCCTCTCAAAATTAACTGCAGATTATGTAAATAAGAAAAGATTACAACTATAATAGTTACACATCTAATGATTACAAAAAGCTTAGTAGACGAACTTTATTAATAGAGTTTCATAAGAATTAACTAATGATATTTCATAACTTCTATGTAGCTAATAACACAATTCCAACATGTAAAAAGTTAATAAATTAATATATAAGTTAATATAAATAAGTTAATATAAATAACTAATAAGTTAACCCGATCTCCAGGATTAGCGGAATGTTATACGGGGTGCTGGTTGCATTTCACGGTGTTATTGGTGACTCCAGTGGTATGATAGCTGAGATAATCGGCATAGAGGTTAGTTCAATCTGATTTTTTAATAGTTTGTCGTACTGGACTGATTTTAAGACAGTTGTTGTAATCGCCCATTTTAGTTTTTACCTGTTTTTTCGCGATTAAAATACGTATATTTGTTGTTTATGTACAAATTGAAAAGAGGGCGTACTTTTGAACCACCAAATTTAAATCGTCCACAATAACAAGCCTCTCATTCAATATTGAAATACCACAAAGTTTTGAGAGGATTTGTCTGTATACTGGTTAATAATCTATTACATGTCATATACACTGTATTTTATCACATTGATATGAACGGAGACATTTTATTTGTATCTGTTTTAACATATCTGTTAGTTGATGTGGAAATTATGATACATCCATTTTAAACATTTTAAATTATATAGTGTAAAGTTTCAGTATAATGAGAAAGTATAAACATGCATCGTAGCCGCAACTTTTGTACATTAATACACTTTTTTGATGAAGTGTTAACAGTGCCACTAAAATGTGAATTCAAGAATCAATATTTCCCGGACTCAGACAGCGAATGAGTGTTATACTTTCAATAAAATGTTTATAACATTGGTAGAATGTACTCACTGTAAAGAAATTAAATTAATTGATCAACTTTAAGGTTCAAAATCCAAACAAAGTCATCGTTATCAAATTTAGAGCCAGCCATTTGGAAAATTAACTCGCAGCTGGTACAATTTTTCCAGATGAAATCAAGCAATATGAATTGTCGGGGCGATCGTTGAAAGTTGACACATTAAACAACGAGACGTGTAATGAAACTTTTTGGATTTAAAATATCTTGAATTCCTACGAATTCGACTACAATTAAGTCATTACATAATTAACTAAACTAACAACAAAACCTCAGAACACAGCTAACTGGAGACTAACAGTACAGTTGTTGGCAGTGCTGACAATAGAAATACCTTTCTCTTTACTCCGGAATCTATCGTCTCTTAACATGCTCTCTGCAGTTTCTCTCTTCATCTACTCCTCCTTCACACTGTTCGTCTTCTCCAATGGTAAGTTTACAGCGCATGCAGCTTACAGGGGTTATAGTCACTGTTGACAACTGTTCAGCTGATAAACTTGCGTCAAATTGTTATAAAGCGCTTCCGTGGTCAATTAGTCTTTTGAAGCACCGGCCGGTGAATATGACTGGGGCAAATAAAGTTCAAAACAAATAACCCGAATATATAAACTAAAGTCTTATGTAGGAGTGGGAGAGTGGCTGCTAGCGACAGAAAGTAGCGGGGTTCAGATGGTAAACATGAGGGGACTCCTGAAATCCTTCCCGATAATAGCTCTAGCGTTTAACTGCCAAACTACACTCTTACCAATCTATAACGAGCTTCCCAATCCTACTATCAAGAGAATGTCTAAGGTAAAGAACTTGAATTTCTAATAAAAACACACTCTTACCTTTTTAAATCATTAACTATTGTGGATAGATACGAGGCACCGGCGAGTCGCGAGAAGAAAATAAAACGTTTTACAGTTTAAGTAGTAAGTAAAATAGCTAGATAAACTATTTGACAAGAAAGATGACCAAGAATTTATCCTAGTCATTCCTCAGAATTTATTTTATCATTAAAAACATGTCCAATTTGTCATTGATGGCAAATGTAATTTTGCATCCGATTCCCGGGTAAGAACGATTTATCAATTACATATTTCTAATATGTTTAATCGTCCAATTATAGGATTAACGAAGCGTAAAAGAAACGGCTAAACAAATGGAAAATTCAGACAGCGGAATTGCCTATCAAACCCGACTTTTCACAATTGCAACTTAGACGTTAGACCGACCATCACTACACCATTGTTTGATAATCGACCGAAAAAATGGCATAATTTCTCATACCTTGGTTAAATAAAGCCTAATACAAACATAACAATTCACGGTAAACGGGGAATTAGACATGGTATTAGTCGTATTTATAAAAAGGTGGAAAGATTTGGTATTCATGAATACCAAAATTTTCCAACTGTTTAGTGTTTATGAATACGACTTATATCGCTTTCATCTCGGATCAATTTCAAGCTACAATTATCTCGTCCGTCGCACCAAAAACTTGTATACAAGTTCAAGCCTCCAGTAGGAAGAGTGGATTGTAATCAGTTTAGAATGTTAAGATGTATTCACAGCAGGTGAACGGTTGCGCCTTATCATCGCCTTGCAGAACCATAGGCAAGTAGCTAGCCTTTCATACAAGACTTAAGGAATAAGGACCGTGAGATTTACACGATATAACCTATTTAAGATATTTATCTTCAAACAAGGTGTCAGTGCAGGAGAATGTAGAAAACGAATGACGTATATCACATGTATATTGTATACCATGTTTAAATCGTAATCATTTATATTTCATTCAGCAAATTACTACGCTGCAATTAATGCTAGTCGTAACTAATTACATCCAAGATACCTGTACCACATTTGAATCGTAATCAATAATTTCACCCAACAATTTACTACGCTACAATTAATGCTATAATAAAATAAGGAACTTTGAAGCCTGATCAGTGCAGTACAACTGTCATTAAATCATAACCACTAACTTTCCCCAAATATCAAAGTATTCACCTAAAAAGTACATACATAAACTTCGCTATCCCAGGTAAGCGTATACGCTATTTCATTTGTCGGAGGACTCTACCTTACCATTGGAGTCTGTGGCGCTCTAGCGTTCGGAACAAAAATTGACGGAAATGTTCTGAACAACTTCCCAGTATCTCCCATAATTGTGTTGTTCAAGTGTGGTTTTCTGCTCTGTATTGCGCTAAGTTTCCCGCTTGTTATTTACCCCTCCCGGATATCCCTCAATTCTCTTTACTTGGTAAGTGACAAAGAATATTTTAAAATGTACATTTCATTGATTTGTCTGAGAAGGATGGGAAACAATTAAAGCCCTTAACACGAAGAATTTATACCTTAACCTGAATATGATCTCGCTGTTTACATTTCGCGGTTACAAATCACTATAACACGGTAACCTCCCAGGGAGACAAAGGAGATCCTAACCACATGACGAGCAACATGTTTAACGGGATCACTGGTGGTCTCATCTTCTCCAGTCTGGGCATGTCCATCATGTTCCCCAAAGTCGACACCATCCTAGCTCTGTCCGGGGCCACTGCTGGTTGCCTAATCGGCTTTATTTTACCGGCTCTTATATACTTGAAGGCATCTGATCCTGGGGACAGCTGGAGGGGTTTCGCTAAGTTCGTGCTCGTTATGGGGATGTTGACGACTGTTGCAGGAGTGTTCAACATTGTGTTTCCTCAGGGTGCAGCACCTCAAATCTCCAGTGACTCTCTCAATCCTAAACACATTATAAACGGTGATCAGCAGCTCGGACAGAGGATACAACTCGATGTTCCTAATCCGGACCAGGTTGAACCTGCTAAAGCTGAACAGTTGGGACATGGTGACATTGTGGCCATGCTGGCAAAACTCCAAGCTGAATTAGACGAGACGAAGCGGGAGCTTCGAGCAGAAAAGGCTCTACGGATAGAAAACGAGATAAATGAATTAAAGGAGCAGTTAAAGGCTCAAAACCTGGCTGTGGAATCTGAACAGAAAGTTGTGGCGGTAGAACAACAGCCGCAGGAAGTTGAGGCCCCGAAAGCGCCAGACCCTGTTCCAAAAGAAGAACCAACTCCAGAAGCTGAAGAAGCTAAAATCGCTGCAGAAGAGCAAAAACCAGCACAAGCTGCCCCAGTTCCTGCTCAACCTGAAGCTAAAGTGGAACCTGCCAAAGCAGCTGAACCAGCTCCGGTGGAAAAAGCGGAACCAGTCAAACTTGAGGAACCAGCTAAAGTTGCAGAACCAGTAATACCAGCTGAGCCAGTGGTTAAAGCTCCTGAACCGGAGGTGAAACCTGCTCCTGAAGAAAATAAGCCGGAAGTTGCCGCTCAACCCAAAGTCCAGGAGCAGCCTGTTGCGGCCGTTCCCCAACCAGCTCCAGAAAAAGCTGTTGAACCTGTGAAAACAGTTATAGATCAACCGGTTGTAGAAGACAAACCGGTTGTTGTAGAACCTGCACCTGTAGCAGCGGAGAGTGCAGAAGTTATGCAGGAAAAGTTAGAACAGATCAAGAAACTGGAGAAAGAGAAGGACGAGCTGTTGGCAGAGAATAAAAAGGTAGAAGAAAAGCAAGTTGAAGAGGTGAAACAGGAGGTGAAGAGAGATGATAATAGTAAAGAAGAACTTCATGAGGTTAAAAAGGAAATTTGAACAATTAGAACAGTAATATGAAAATTTATTTATTAGGTTGCTCTAAACGTAAAGAAAATGAGAGTGGGAATTCCTCAAGTGCAGAATACGTTGCACATGTTTGGAGTTATGTTTTGGAAATGTTTACTTGTGTTCAGAGTTTCACAATTGTATTCATTTTAATACTCATAGTGAGGGTTAAAAACAGAATAAATTAACGTTTTTGTGATTGTTTTTAATGAACTGGTCTCATTTTATTGTTTTGGGGTATTAGTTTGTCTTTTTATTTTCAGACTAAGGTACTTCTGTACAGTTTTTATTCTTCTGACCGCATATTTCATGCTACCTTTAACAATTATATTAGAAACTTACTGGAGAATTTTATTTTACTCAGTAAAATTTTTCTGGCGGATTAAAAGGATTTGTGATTTAGATAACCAATCTGAACACTTTTTTTCCGCCAAATGTGCTATCAGTTTAAACCAATTTCGGGAAATTCTCTAAGTCTAATTTTCACATAAACTTTTCGTTACAGTTACACTTACACAGGCAACGGTGTTTTAAATGTTTCACAAATTGTTTCAACATTTAACCAACGTTTATTTTTAGATTAACGATTTTTTCTTTGGCAATAAAATTTTTTTTACTCAAGGTGATCCGAAATATTGCGCTTACAATACAGTTGTGATTGTTTTATCCTTTTTGTCATATTATATCGTTTTTTCATTTCTATTCAGTATTCTGCCATGTCACACAGTCACGTGTGATGACAATTTATAAATATAGATTGTACTAAAGCCGTAGTACATACATATTACATTACACTGAATCGAGCTATATAAACATATAATAGGCGGCGCAGACTGGAGGAAATTACACTGTGTAAGCTCCAGTGTAATGTAATATGTATGTAATACGGCTTTAGACCTAAGTGCCAAAAAGCAGTTATGCTATGGGCAAGCCGGACCTTAATTTGGAAAATAATTGAGATCATAACGAGAGAGAAAACGTCTTAAAGTCGTGGGGTGGATAAATAAAGTTATACAATTTAAAACAATCCGCGTATCGGGGTTTTTTAAAACAATTCGGAAGTTAGGATGATTTAATTAGGATGATTACCGATAATTTTTTTAGTATAGTGACCAAATTGAGTAAAATCTTCGGAATTTTGCAAATTCGTCAATATGTTACGAGAAATTCGTGAATTGACTAATTTTCGCGAATCTCGATTCGGCAACATAATCATATTGATATTGCACAGCCACAACTGACAATCATAGGGTTAAATTAGCGGACTTTTTGTTTTATATTTATGGCTTGGAGGGCCGATTGGTAAAAATGTGTAATTAGCACTAGCAGCTAGGTCCCAGCAATCGATCGAGCTTACACAGTGTATAAATTTCCTCCACTTCCAGTCTGCGCCGCGCGCCTATATAAACATACGCGGCGCAGACTAGACTGGAGGAAATTACACTGTGTAAGCTCCAGTGTAATGTAATATGTATGTACTACGGCTTTAGACCTAAGTGCCAAAAAGCAGTTATGCTGTGGGTCGACGTTATTAGTTATGTTCACATAGCCATGTGCCTACGCGTACTGCGCGACGCGCTTGTTTCGGCGGTCGCGCGCTACTGCAAGCGAGAGGGCTCTGGTTAGAGCAATCAGTTATGAGACAAGCGATGTGTGACAAGCCGGACCTTAATTTGGAAAATAATTGAGATCGTAACGAGAAAGAAAACGTCCTAAAGTCGTGGGGTGGATAAATAAAGTTATATTTAATTATTTAATTTACGCGGATTGTTTTAAATTTTAAAACAATCCGCGTATCGGGGTTTTTTAAACAATTCGGAAGTTAGGAATAGGATGATTTAATTAAGATGATTACCGATCATTTTTTTTAGTATAGTGACCAAATTGTTAATTGAGTAAAAATAAAATCTTCGGAATTTTGCAAATTCGTCAAATTCAATATGCTACGAGAAATTCGTGGATTGACTAATATTAGCGAATCTCGATTTGGCAACATAATGCACAACTGACAACTATAGGGTTAAATTAGCGGACTTTTTGTTCTATATTTATGGCTTGGAGGGATTGGTAAAAATGTGTAATTAGCCGTTAGGTCCCAGTAATCCTTACAAAACTTTCTATTCCTTTTACTTCTGAATTTAGGCCCCTATCAGTAATAATGAATAAGGTTTCCTGGGATTAATTAAATTTGACGAAACTTTCAAAAAATCTAAGTTTGAGTTTGACCCATATGGCATATCTATAATCTCTGAAATTTTCTGAAATGGGTTGCTAGTTGTGGGCAGTTACTTCTGAGCCACCCTTGACTATTATACGATACCATATTGTAATTTGTACTTGTAGTACGATGCACTACTAGTCTAGTAGTAGTAGTAGTACTTAACTGTAGTAGTACTTAACTGGGCCGCGTCTCGCATCAAATAATTCTTCTCTTCGGTAGATCAGCGAGATGCACCACTGGCACTGCATGGGCCTCACCGAGCTGCGAAGGATTGACATCGTGAATCAATATACTATTCTATTACCATCTTTAATGCCTTTAATATCTGATTTGTTTTATTCGCGTTAGCACTTAGCACGTGTTGGTTGCATTGTCATGGCGAACAAAATCGCGCGCGACAAATGTGCTGAAATCCCTGAAATGCACGCGGGTCATATTTACTTCCACCTTTGTTAATTCGTTGTATGCTATCAAATTACCTACGACAGTTATCTACCACCAATCTTACTATACTGAAAATATAATATCTTCAACTTTCAATGGGATTCCAAAGAGCAATCCAAACTGCTATTCGGAAATGTTCTCGAACAAGACGACCAGCCGAGCTCAACTCTTTAGGTGCTTATATTCAAACTGTGTTGACAATTTTCGACTTGAAGATTTTGGTCTCTTATCAGTCATCAGTCATGCTGCACACATTCTTATTTGTTTAGCATTTGATGTTTATACTGACTTAGTGAGATCTGACCAACATTCTTACTCAGAGCAAAGAAGAGAAGTAGCTCTTCAACAACTGGGGCAACTGATCGAGGAAAAGGACACTTATAAATGCCAGATATGGTTTGAAATGAACGAAAAAGGTGTTCTAAAAGACGAGATTGAAATTTTGACATCCGAGAATGACCTGCTCAGAGAGAAAGTAGAGCTCCTCGAAAAGGTGAAAGGGTTATTTTTATATCATTATCAAACCACCAGTCACCATATTAAATATATTGCTCAACAATTGTTATAGTGTTCAAGTATAAACAATCATAGGATAATCATAAAGGTTAATCAATCTGCTGTCGAACCTTATTATTTCTGAAAATACGATGATTAGTACAGGGTGGGCCAAAAGTCAGTACCCATACGTTGGCCTTTATAGCTCAGTCACTGAGTGCCCAATTTAAATACTTCTTTCTGGTATGACTTAGTACCACCACTGGTTCGAGGAATTTGTCAACTCGAAAAATATTCGCGTTCATTTTTTTCAAATGGAGGTTCATTTTCACATTTATTTGATAGTCTGTATAGTCGGATCAAGCTAAATGTTATTGAATTGTGTTTGGCCATTCGAATTACGTTTGTCCTGAAAGAATTAGAACTGTAGCTTCTCAGATGACCGAGATACGAAGCATAACGAGTTTATTCATTACGTGTGATCAGGTGATTGGTTTACCTAATCACGTGATTAGGTGACCCCCGTTAACCACCCTGTTAAACATTATGGGAATTGTTAAGGGTGCCCAATTAAGGTGTCGTGTCACGGTGTCACATAATCACCCAGTCAATTTTGTTAACGAGATACAGAAAATGCTTGATAACTTCGTCATTTCTAATCCGTTATGCCTCATGTTTTCAGATCATATGCAACATTTGATAATCTACCGTCTCTACAAAAATGAGGCGTTCAGCATGTTCAGAGAAAACAATATAGGTGTTTTAAAATTGAATGGGCGTGGTCTAAAATATTCGAATTTTCAAATTTTGACGACGGAATCCTCGAACCAGCAAGTACAGTATGCCATCTGATAAGCAACAGCTCTCAAATATAAAACACGTCGGAGCTATTAAGGCCAACGTATGGGTACTGACTTTTGGCCCACCCTGTATAAATACAATTTCATTGCAAATGCAATAACGAATTTATTCCTCAGGAAAAGTGGAGCCAGAAAGACATCATTTTTGGTCTAAGACGCCAGCTGGCTAAAGAGGAGCGATCCTTCGAAACATCGAGATCACTGATCCTACAGTCACGACTGAATAGACAAGAGGATTTAACAGCCGCTACTAAAAGAGCAGATGATTTAGCGCGGGAGTTAAACCTGGCTGTGACGAGGGCTAAAGAAGATTTAGCAGCTTACAAGGATGAAATTGACAATCTCAAACAGGTGAGCTGAAATAATGTAAAAGTTGATTGAATTTTCATCTCGGAATCTGCAAGAATGATTGGTTGGATGGTTGGTCTGTATAATGGCTTCAAAACAGACAATTTTAAATGCTTACCTAACTTTTACCTTCCTCGGACTTAATTTGAACGGAGATCAATTGGACGCTGAAGGATCTCATTTTAATGTCCGTTCAAATAATGTCCTTTTACGTTAATTTACACTAACAATAACTTAAATGATTCAACTTATTACAGGATTTTGAGATGAAAGCGTCATCTATAAACAAGGAGGTAAAAGATGTGGAATGTGCCCTCCAAGTCCAAGCTGAATTCCAAGATGCTTCAACTTGTACGACCGGCAGTACATCCTCCAGGTAGGAATGCAGGAATTGGAGACAAAATTGTGAAACGAGAATGAACCCTGATTTCCATCGGGCCAGCCACTTAATTGAAAAATGTACCGTTGGATTTTATTTTGATTCAATTTTGAAATTAAGGTAATAACAATTTGAATTACTAATTTCGGTACTCTCACAGAAGGATCAGCTGCAGGGCTGCCAACAACAAATCTAAAAGGCACAGGAGTGACAATTCTTCAAGACTGGATGAGCACAACCTCAACCATCTACCATTCCAGTGCATATCCAGTTTGAAAATCAGCAGATCAAATTGGGAGTTACCTATGCTGACCCAAGGATCGAAATTTCTTGCAGCCTACTACGCGAAGAAAAGTGGCGCACATTGAACAGATTTTCTACGTGGAGTGCCCTCGCCCAAATAAAACAAAGAAGGAGCTTTTTATTTTATATTTTAACTTCCTTTACTTCTCACGGAGCTCTGTACTATGTTAACAGTACTGTGAACGGTACTGTGAACGGTACTGTGACCAGTACTGTGAACGGTACTGTGAACGGTACTGTGACCAGTACTGTGAACGGTACTGTGAACGGTACTGTGAACGGTACTGTGACCAGTACTGTGAACGGTACTGTGAACGGTACTGTGACCAGTACTGTGAACGGTACTGTGAACGGTACTCTGAACGGTACTGTGACCAGTACTGTGAACGGTACTGTGAACGGTACTGTGACCAGTACTGTGAACGGTACTGTGAACGGTACTGTGACCAGTACTGTGAACGGTACTGTGAACGGTACTGTGAACGGTACTGTGAACGGTACTGTGAACGGTACTGTGACCAGTATTGTGAACGGTACTGTGAACGGTACTGTGAACGGTACTGTGACCAGTACTGTGAACGGTACTGTGAACGGTACTGTGACCAGTACTGTGAACGGTACTGTGAACGATACTGTGAACGGTACTGTGAACGGTACTGTGAACGGTACTGTGAACGGTACTGTGAACGGTACTGTGAACGGTACTGTGAACGATACTGTGACCAGTACTGTGAACGGTACTGTGAACGGTACTGTGAACGGTACTGCGAACGGTACTGTGAACGGTACTGCGAACGGTACTGTGAACGGTACTGTGACCAGTACTGTGAACGGTACTATGAACGGTACTGTGACCAGCACTGTGAACGGTACTGTGAACGGTACTGTGACCAGTACTGTGAACGGTACTGTGACCAGTACTGTGAACGGTACTGTGACCAGTACTGTGAACGGTACTGTGACCGGTACTGTGAACGGTACTGTGACCGGTACTGTGAACGGTACTGTGACCGGTACTGTGAACGGTACTGTGACCGTTACCGTGAACGGTACTGTGACCGGTACTGTGAACGGTACTGTGAACGGTACTGTGAACGGTACTGTGACCGGTACTGTGAACGGTACTGTGACCGGTACTGTGAACGGTACTGTGAACGGTACTGTGACCGGTACTGTGAACGGTACTGTGAACGGTACTGTGAACGGTACTGTGAACGGTACTGTGAACGGTACTGTGACCGTACTGTGAACGGTACTGTGACCGTTACTGTGAACGGTACTGTGACCGGTACTGTGAACGGTACTGTGACCGTTACCGTGAACGGTACTGTGAACGGTACTGTGACGGTACTGTGAACGGTACTGTGAACAGTACTGTGACCAGTACTGTGAACGGTACTGTGACCAGTATTGTGAACGGTACTGTGAACGGTACTGTGACCAGTACTGTGAACGGTACTGTGAACGGTACTGTGAACGGTACTGTGAACGGTACTGTGACCAGTACTGTGAACGGTACTGTGACCGGTACCGGAAACGGTACTGTTCACAGTGTGCAGGGTTTTGGGAGAAATAGTTGTGACGAGATTTTTTAAAATTCATTATTCATGAATCATGTTATTGTTCATATTCTTCCAAAAAAAAAGAAAAAAAAAGAAAAGAACAGTACCAAACACTGACTACAATTTTGAATTTCGGGACCCGGTATTCCATTGTTTCACTTTGTCTTGAATATTGATTGTTGATGATGATGCAGTTTCAATACTTAAATATTTTATAAAATTAATATGGTTGTTAGCGTTACGTTACAAGATATTCCTATAATTCATTTTTCAGTCTGAGTTTGATCATATGTCAAACGTGCGCACCTTTGTGATCTTGGAGTTGGATTAACGGGTGATACTCGTAAAATATTTGTTCAAATAAGTCCGTCGACAATTGTCGACTTAAGTCCAAATCCAAAATCGGCGCTCGTCTTGGTAGGTTATAAACCTACAATTAGGAGTTGGAATAAAACAATAATTAAAATTTAACGAATTATTTGCTCTGAATAGAAATTTCCCCAGAACTGAATTATTATAAGAGACTAGTGTAATTCACTAATTCCCGTGCCTACGCCTACTATACGGCCGGGACTTCACTATCGCAGTTGAAATGCAAAATTAGTATAAATCCGCCTATTATATTCAAAACACACATTACATTTTCGTACTTAAAACGGTGCGAAAGTATGAACTCGCTCGATCTGTAAACTGCAATTTAATTCTGAGTGCCCCTCATATATATTTTACAGTAATACTTGATCGCTAGCCAATTTCCTTGTTTTCACGGTCCGTTTACCCAGCATAGTGATAATTACCGGCTACTTTAATTTTTCTCGACACTTTGTCCCTCTTTGTTGTGATATGTTTCAATCTCTATTGCGACTTGTTAACCAGTTATTAGCTTCAGCCCACTTATTATCTTCTTGTAGTCTAAATAGACCCTCTTGACTTTATAACCTCATGGTTGTGGCACTTAATTCTAGGGTGTTTTAGTCATTATCAGTTAATCTTCCGATTTTACGGTCTGCCATACGTTCACTCAGCACCTGTACTGATTACCTGTATTAATCACTAATCTCCATCTCTTTGTTTTTCCCAGCCGCTAATCTGTAGCTCACTTTTAATCGACCCAGTTTAGACCTCATGTCATTTAGATCTTCTATGTTGAGACAAGTTCTCAGATAATGGTTTTATAATTACGGTACTGAGCAGTACTATTTATCACAACTACCTATTTATATAGCACACTTCACAATCGACCCATCTCTAGACCCAATCATGCAAATGAGTTTATGTCACCATCACCTGCAACAAGAGTACGTTACCAGCATCACGGACAAAGGATAGGACAAAGAAGACACTATCTGCCACACTTATAGAGCCTGGCAAACTCTAATCAAAGGTAAGTCTGGCAGTGGTTCACACTCTGTTGATATCTAAATGAGACTTGATTGAGGCCTCTCAACTTCCCTAGTTGAGTGTGTCCCACAACCAAGCTCATTGCCTAGAAGTCCTGCATTATTATAATGCACCTGGACATATGTGGCAAGTATAAGCTCTTTAAACCAAAACTAAAACCAAAACCAAAACTAGCCAATTTAAGGTCCCCTGCCAAAACCAAATTACCTAATATAAGTATCACATTTGGGTCACAAAATGATCAATTAAACCACTTACCACCGGCCGATTTGGAAATCCTTAATCATTTGGCTTGGTCATAGTTTTGTTATGTTGCCATTATATATAGTATATTATCGCTTTTAGTTTTACTAAATCGCTCGCCCAAATTTTAAGAAAATTCTTGATCTTGTGAAGAGGCCCTATGGGCATGAAATTGATCTAAATCGGTGTATTTTTGGACGCTGATTCCGAATCACCCCCATGACGTAGGGTAAAAATGCTTCCCTGGAGAGTTATGGGAAAAAACCGTTTTGGTCACGTGACAGGCTAGTAAAACATGAATTCGATAGTTTAGGGCTCGGGTTAGGGTTAGGGTTGTGGTAAGGGTTATGGATAGCTTCGGGGTTATGGTTAGGGTTAGGGTTGGGATTAGGGTTTATGTTACTGGGCCGCGCTCAGCCTGTCATTCCGCCTAATCTGTAATCTCTATTCGGTTTGTTTATGAACATGATAGCCTGAGGTGCCCAGGTAAGGTTTATGTAAAACCGTTTTGTACGGCTGCAAAACCATAAAAACCAAAGTCACGTGAAATTTTTGGCGAGCGAATTAGTAAGAGCCCGCCATTATATTTATACCAACAAAAAAGACAGCCCCATAACTTTTAACCGCTTACCGTTTACTTGATTAAGCTGTTACTAAAACTAAAAGATAAATCGTATGATTCTTACAAATATAAATTGTACCATAAGTGCCAAAAAGCAGTTATGGGTCGAAGTTATCGGTTATGAGACATCCAATGTGTGACAAGCAGGACCTTAATATTTGGAAAAGATTAATTAGTTGAACTTGAAATCGCAACGAGAGAAAACGTAATTTAATAGGTCGTGGGTGAATTTTATCACAGTGAATCAAAACGGGGATTTTTGTTAAATTCCTAATTGTGCAATTCGTCTCCATCATAGTAGGTTAGTGTGCACTTTAGGGGTCGTTCACATATTACGTAATCAGCCAAGGGGGAGGGGGATTTCCAAATGATTACGCTAGTGTAATTTTGACACAATAGCTATTAGCTATGTGTAAAACTGAAAAAGTGATAACATAATAATATTTGAACGACCCCTAAGTGACGCAAATTTAAGGTCATTTATGTCATGTAATATTATATGCTTGAAAGTCTTATCGGTAAATTAAATCATGCCAAAGCTGATATTTAAATGTGCAGTGCACCTGTTTTAAAATGCGACTTGTTAGACCTTATCAGTTTTCCCTTGTCTTGAAGACCATAGATTTCAGGATTATTGCGAACTTTATTATTTATCGTTAATAGCTCGGATTAATGTACATTGGTTTCGACTCCCTGCTCGCTTTTATTGTGTCAATTTGAATATATTTTAGTTAATATAAGTCTCCCAATGGCATTATCGTATAATAGGGGCTACAGACATTATGTGGCTTTCTGATTATCTTTTCGATAGCAAACCAGTAAATATATCATGTCATCATGAAAACACTTTCCACTGTTTTGACACGTGACTTATGAAATATTAGTTTAAAAACTAATAGAATAATTTATTTATTAATAACTTATCGATGTGGATTCTGGTGGGGAGGTGAAGCATATTTTAAACACGTGACAGAAATTCACCAATCGGATTCCACTATTGATCAATCAGATCACATGTCAAAGAACATGCCCCACCAGAATCCACATCTACGACTACATGGTATATCACTGATAATAAACTGCAAATAGCCTTGTATATTGTCCCCAGTCCTCATATATGCTGAACACTCATAGTCACTATACTAGCAGTTTATCGAATACTTCCTCTGTGAACCATCGCTTGGTACTTTACACTTATTGTAGTCAGTAGTGGGATGGTGTAGGACTCTCTCCGACTGAAACTCCCAAACTCCTGCATATTCTAGAAGTTTTATTTTTAAATCCCAAGCTTCTTCATATCATATTATTATTATATGCGTTTCGACTTTGTGTCATAAAATTGTATATATCCCTACAA